TATTTATTGAAACACAAAAGCCTGAACGGATCGGCTTCATTTTGGGACAGCAGGACTATTTAAATCGTTTTCAGTTTTTCAACTGTTTGTCCAGGGGTCGGCAACCTGCGGCTCGCGAGCCGCATGCGGCTCTTTTGATATCAAGATGAGGCTCTCCAGCTCCTTGAACAAATACTAATAATCTTAATAAAAAAATAAAATATTTTAAATTAAAAAATGTCAGTGGCTCTTTAAAACCAGGGAAATTTTGAAAATTGTAACTTTTGGCTCTTCAGCTTCAAAAGGTTGCCGACCCCTGGTATAGACCATATAGCCGTTCTCATTTTCGCGATTTTTAGATCTTCATGTATAATAATAGTTTCGCTGTATGTATTTGTTTGTATTTAGAGAGTGTATGTATCTACTTAAAGACCAAAATGCAGAACAGTTTTCCGACTCAGGGAGTTAAAAACGTCCAGATTACAATACTCTATATACACTTTGTAAGCAAGAAAGTAATAAACCCCCAAAAAAATACAACCACCTAAATTTTAGAAGTATATAGATAGATGGACGATCTTTACTTAATGTCTATTTTAGCAAGGGGTTACACCACCAGCAGTCTACATGTACACACCACCAGCAGTCTACATGTACACACCACCACCAGTCTACATGTACACACCACCATCAGTCTACATGTACACACCACCACCAATCTACATGTACACACCAGCACCAGTCTAACTGTACACACCACCACTAGTCTACATGTACACACCACCACCAATCTACATGTACACACCACCATCACTCTACATGTACACACCACCACCAGTCTACATGTACACACCACCACCAGTCTACATGTACACACCACCATCAGTCTACATGTACACACCACCACCAGTCTACATGTACACACCACCATCAGTCTACATGTACACACCACCACCAGTCTACATGTACACACCACCAGCAGTCTACATGTACACACCACCACCAATCTACATGTACACACCAGCACCAGTCTACATGTACACACCACCACCAGTCTAACTGTACACACCACCACTAGTCTACATGTACACACCACCACCAGTCTACATGTACACACCACCACTAGTCTACATGTACACACCACCACCAATCTACATGTACACACCACCATCAGTCTACATGTACACACCACCACCAATCTACATGTACACACCACCATCACTCTACATGTACACACCACCACCAGTCTACATGTACACACCACCACCAATCTACATGTACACACCACCACCAATCTACATGTACACACCACCATGACTCTACATGTACACACCACCACCAGTCTACATGTACACACCACCACCAGTCTACATGTACACACCACCACCAGTCTACATGTACACACCACCACCAATCTACATGTACACACCACCGCTAGTCTACATGTACACACCACCACCAGTCTACATGTACACACCACCACTAGTCTACATGTACACACCACCATCAGTCTACATGTACACACCACCACTAGTCTACATGTACACACCACCACCAATCTACATGTACACACCACCAATCTACATGTACACACCACCACCAATCTACATGTACACACCACCGCTAGTCTACATGTACACACCACCACCAGTCTACATGTACACACCACCACCAGTCTACATGTACACACCACCACTAGTCTACATGTACACACCACCATCAGTCTAACTGTACACACCACCAGCAGTCTACATGTACACACCACCATCAGTCTAACTGTACACACCACCACCAATCTACATGACTGTACACACCACCAGTCTACATGTACACACCACCACCAATCTATACGTACACACAACGACACAAGTATTTATGTATCCTCAGTTTTAATCAGAACCCCTGCCTTTCCCTTTAAGTGTTCCTATGAAAGAAATGACATAATCATTTCATTTACATACTACTCCCATCTGTGCTCACAACTTGTCGGTCCGTGGAACTTGTAGTCGGTAAAGATTAAAAGTCTAAAAAAAACTCTTTATACCCATGTTTTCATAACATACATTTTTTGCAGAGTAGCTATTGAGGACAGATGGCTATGGCATGTACGGTTAGGCTATATTGAAATCTTCTCATCTCAGTCTTAGCGAATGAGTTCCATTCCACAACATAGACACTCGGCCTCAAAGGCGTCGCGAGGCGGGGTCGGGGGTTGCGGACCGCACCGAGTGACACCATTTAGGGGGATGACACCAAGACAAAATAAACCGGGAGTGATCTCCCCTAAACTTTCTCGAATATTCTTATATGACTTGGAATATAGACATGATTTTTAATTACTTAAACTTTTAAAAATAGAATAGAATCTCATAGAAAAAGGTATTGCACACCAAGCGAACGCCAAAACAAAATGTGCATAATAGTGCGCAATATTATTAGTACTTTATAAATTTACATGCGTTTTTTGAGAAATCGGAAATAGCGTAAATTAGTACTTCGGGTCAACGGAAACTACTCAAAATTTGACAGAAGGTAGAGAATTAGATCTTTTACTTACGTGTAAAATTTCATTTATCTATCCGAAATAGTACTCAAGTTATAGGCTTTTGATAAATTCAAAGTAAAAAAAGTACCACTTCCGGTTATCGGAAATCGCTCAAAAGTTGATCAGGATCTACGATTTTGATAAAATACTTAGATATGAAATTTCATCAACCTAGCTGTAATGGTACTCAAGTTATCGTGTTTACAAACAGACAGACACACAGACAGACACACAGACATACGGACAAGATTGCAAAATTATGTTTTTCCGTTCAGTGAGGTGTAAAACGTCCAGATTTGTAAAATTCTCGATTTTTTTTTGCACGATTACAAGACTTTCTCTATACTTCGTATATACGAGAAAGTAAAAAGTTGATAAATATATAGAATAAATAAGCTTTTTGCTAGTTCAATGAAAGGCTAATTAGCGGTAAAAAAATTTTAAGTTAAAATTGACGATCCATGCAACATTTTTAGGTGGATTAAAATAATGTGTGCACAAATTGCCAACATTTGGCAAAATCGGAGGGAGTTGTCACCAACTGCATATATATATATATATATATATATATATATATATATATATATATATATATATATATATATATATATATATATATATATATATATATATATATATATATATATACATATATATATATATACATATATATATATACATATATATATATATACATATATATATATATACATGTATATATATATACATGTATATATATATATATATATATATATATATATATATATATATATATATATATATATATATATATATATATATATAGCCTATACTTTTTTCCTTTGGCGGTTGGGGTATAGGGGGGGTGGCTACACCATTAGGTGCCGCACCTGGTGACACCTGACCTAGCGACGCCACTGCTCGGCCTAACGTTTTAAATATTTGTTACTGTTTATGACAGTCTCTCTATTCACTCGATCTAATGAATAGCCTGGTTTTGTTTTGAAACGTGTTCAATCAAAGACTCATGTGTCAGAATAGCGTTTTTGTATGTGTTATTTTTTTTAACTAGCTTATACAAGTAACACACAGACGTATGTTCAGGCTGTATTATTTTAGGGAGCGTCGGTTTTTGGTAAAAAAAACTAGATACCCGTTATTTTTTAATAACTGTGACGTCTGTTTGATAATTTTCATCTTTCCCCTTCCATTACCACTGTCACACATCTTCACAAAAAGCCAACCCCCACTCGGCTGAGTGAGGGTATGACCACACTATCTCTTCATATGCTGAGCTCACAGAAACTGGTGAACTCTACTTGCCACTTGTCTCGGAAAGTCCCGATAGGCAACTTTATCATTCATATCTAAAAAGAAATTGAACATTGGCATGATTTGCCTCGAACCAGTACCACCTGCATCTTAACTGTTAAACTATCACCTCAGCCAGCTGGGCACTTACAATTGAGTGTAAATTGACTGGGGTAATATATTTAGCATCGTACATTATTAATAAAGTTAAATCACGCATAGATTATTTAATAATAATTAATTATGTCATAATTTAGCCAATTCCATTGTTTAACAAAGATTTAAATAAAATTATTATGGCCTAAAAAATTAAAAAAACTCATTATTGATATATATCTAGAATCTACATAGAGCTTGATCTAGATCAAGATTATATATCTAGATTATAGATCTACAATCTATGGCTTTGTTTATTTTTAATAAAGCGTTAAACGTTTGAATGGGCAACATGGTCTTCCATGGAAGCCGCCATCTTTCATTGTTTATTGTGAAATGTAAGTAAATGAATCAAGTGACGTCACTATAAAGTAATTGTTCCGAAATTTTATAATTAAAGTGGTGTTTTTTACCAATGAATATATCAATAAATTAATTAACGTCTTTAAATAAATTTGTTCTTAAAAGTTTGATTAAAAAGAATATTATTCTCTACATATATACATATTTTAGAGTTCTACACATAGTTCAGATTCAATGAGAACAAACTTTAAAATATTGTTTGTTTTTAACAGTAAAACATTCACTTTTCTAGTAAAACTGACTGTCTGCGAAAAAGCGCAATTACGAAAATTTATGGTATTTAGAGTAAATTCAGTAAATCGGGAACTGCGGGCCGCTTTTATATCACCCCTTCCCTAGAAGCACTATCCATAAGTTAACATTTATCGTAGATCTACACAGCCAATATTTTAAAATTTGAAATTCTTATTTTGATCTATTTAAAAATGGTGAATTATATACTTTAATTTGAGCAAATTAACTACCTCATTTCATTTTAATAAATTAATTACCATGTTAATGACATGCTTTCACTTCTGCAAAACCCTGGCTTTCATTTACACACTCTCGAATATCATAATTTTTTAACTGTATGAGTTGATAGCATCAAATTTATTTCATTCATGCTCTGCTGTATTTTGTCTTGTTTTTTTAATTATCTGAGGTTACCATTATATTTTTATCTTAGGGAGAAGAAGACCCACGGACTTTGGATGACCGCACCCAATCTAATATTCGCCCTAACGAAGAGAGTCCAGATTGCCTTAATAGTCGTAGCAAGCTTCTTAAAAAGATTGACAAAAGAAACTCACCCCAACTCGAACAAGAAACCCGTCTGCTAACTAAACCAGAAGAAGAATTCATTGGCGCTTCAGAACAGAATTCTAAAGACGATAAGCGACAGTCAGGGTCGGGTGGGGGACTGTTGACAGCAGGCACAAGAGAAACTGTTGTAACGGAAAAAGAGAATTTTGAGAAGAACTGCATAGGATCGTCTGTTGAAACTAGACAGCACTTACCATGTGATGAAATAGGAGATAGTCCAGTCAAGTCAGATGTCAAAATAACCAGCAAGTCTGTGAATTACGATGAAGTGCTGAAGGATCTTGTGCTTCACCCTCGTTTGCAATCATCTGAACAACGAATTCAGTTTCATTCTCAAATATCGCATGAACCGCGTTTGCATCAGCAATATCCAACTTCTCGTCAACAAACTAGTCAAAAGATTCAATGTCATGAACCTGTGTCTAGCCAATGCGCAGATCAGTCGCTTCAAGTTTACCGTCATTTTGTTAGCCTACCACAGCAAACGTCATTAGTGCAGTTTCCTCTTCAGCACCTTCAACAACAACAGCAGCACCACCAACGTAAACACGAACATCAGCAGCATATCAATTCACAGCAGGAGCAACAACTTCACCTTCAGCAGCAATTTATAGTACAACAGCAAAGAAATCTAGAATCTCATCGAGGTCATGAACCTAACCATAACCTTAATATACAGGAAAGGATTCCCAATCGGCAGCAGGGTGGCTGCCAGCGGGCAGCGCCCTATTCAGTATTTTCTTCAACTTCTCCAAGCGCAGCCATTAGTTTAACTAGTCATGTCTATGCAAACGTGCGCGGGCCAAACGGTGGTGCGGGTCTGGAGATGGGCATAAAGAGCATGGAGGTTGAAGACGACAGCTTTGTAGTCGAGACTGTTGAGATCATTAAACGACCAGGCCAGACTCTGGGTTTTTATATTCGTGAGGGCAATGGCTTTGACCGCTCAGATGGAGTCTTTATTTCCCGTATACAGATGGGAACAGTCGCTCAAAGCAACGGACTCCTTCATGTCGGTGATGAGATAGTAACAGTAAATAATGTCAAGGTGGGAAATATGTCTCTCGACGATGTGGTCATCCTTATGTCAATCCCGAAAAAGCTTGTACTGACCATTAGGACTCGTAGAAATAGCAGCAAAAATAAATCATGCCCTTCGCTGCCCATGGCAGAACAGCCCGACCCTCCTGTTGTTGTGCTCAAGAAAGGAAGGTCATCGTCTGCCTCAGCGTTGGAGATGACAGAGAAATGCCCAGACATGTACGAGCCTGGTCAGACCTACGCTCAATATCCCTTCCAGACTGCTGACTACATACCACGACAAGAACGGCCTGCGTCCAGATATGCCAGTATTTTTATAAGCCCCCACCGAGCAGAGGCCAAGCTGATCAGCGATGACGGCATGGAAAGCAGCAACTCCAGTGAAGGCTCCTTGCCACGAAGCGTCGATTCTAAAGACAGAACATATTTAGGTCACGAAGTTCTGGAGTCGCCTCATAGTAGCTATATAAGTGTAACAAATCCGATTTACGATCACTTTTCTAGTTTGCCTGATTACAAACTTCATATGGTGGCCGACACGCTGGGCAGAAAGTCGTCTGTACTACCAAAATCTCCATCTAAGCAAAGTCCGCTCGGAACGCATCTATACAGAAACAGACCCAACTCTGATGCCAGTCCAGGCTTTCCAGAACCTCCTTATATGAACGTTGGTGCTTTAAGAGACGGAGGAATGCAGCCTCAATCGTCGCACTATCATCACACATCTCCTCATTTTCACCAACCCCCACTTCCAACGCAGCAGTTTTCTAGCCACTACCAGTACCAGTCCTCCTATCCCTTATCCACATCAAGTCAGGGGCCATATGCGGCCCCTGGACAGCAGTACAGAGGCGCCGTATCTCAGGAGGACAGACGGCGGCAAGAGAGAATTCGAAGTCTTCTCAATTCAAAATCCAAATACGGCAGGCTGTTACGTAGCAGATCCCCGGAGTGCTACAACTCGGACTCGGAGATCGTCTTTACTCACCAGGCCCATACCGATGGGAGAGGATTCGCCTCAGATTACGAGGCTTATGGAGGGGCGTTTAGTGACGATGAGCCGGTGTACTCCATACCCAGAATACCATCCAGTTCCTCTTCTGAACTTGAAATGCTTCTTAAAAAATTTACCACACTCTCACAGGAACTCCAACAAGAGCAGAGCAAGCTCCAGAGACAGCTCAGCACCAGAGACAAAGTTCCACGTAAGTTTTTATCTGACCTTCAGGTTATGGCTAGTCACGTGTCAATTTAAAATCAGTCAGGAATTGAACGCAGGTTTGTCCACACTTCGGTTTAGATCCCCCCCCCCTCTTACTGGGCGTACTGTATGGTAGCCTTGAGTGTGCGTTTATTACCCTCCATTTAATGAGGTAGAACGCATCTCAGCGCAGGTCTCAGTTACACTACCGTAACGGCGCCGAGTACTGCCCGTGGTTCGGTTTAATCATCCAATTTTGTTTGCCGCCTTGTCACTATTGTAGGGTGCTCTTTAAAACGAAGTCTGAGGCACCAAAACGCACACCGACGAAGCGCCTTAGGACACACTTGATTTGATTTAGACAACGATTACAGTGGCCGATTTTATCCATAGTGTATAGAAGTCTTCAAAACGAACACTGGCGCCAGTTCCATAGCAATCGGATAAAGTTGTAATAAGACATACTTTATATATATATATATATATATATATATATATATATATATATATATATATATATATATATATATATATATATATAAGGCCCTATATATATATATATATATATATATATATATATATATATATATATATATATATATAAAGTATGTCGCTGGTAGTGTGTCAGCGCCTGGCGATTGCGTGACCCGAAGCACCCCGTGCTTTCATATTAGCACTATGGCGCCTACATTCATTTTTAAAAAAGGCTATGCACTACTAAAGACACAAAAGGCAACAATAATCGTTGAATATATTGAATCAGGCATGTTCTGTGGCCCCCCCCGGTAGGGGAGATTTGGCACCCCAGGCTCACCCGTAGCACTATGGGGCCTACGTTAGTTTTAAAGAGTGCAATAGGCTATGGATACAATGGGTTGCTATAGTCGCTCACTAAATCGAACCGGGCGCGTTTTCAGACGACCTAAAGGATGTTCTATGATTCCCCGGGTTACCCCGTGAGCGTCATGGCGCATTCTTTTGTTTTAAAGAATACTATAGAATATGGATTAGATGGGGTTTTATAGTTGTTCACTAAATTGAATCAGGTGCGTCCACTAGCATCCCGGCGGGGTACTATTTGACGCCCGGGGCTATCCTGTGTCCAAGATAGGATTGGTAACACATTAATGAAACGCTTTAAAAATAATTAATCCGATTTTCTTCTGAGACCCCTGCAAAATTGTAACCTTAGGTTTTTCCGACGGGGGTATGTGTAAAGTGTCGAGGTTTGTCAAAATGACTACAATACTTCGCCCATGCTCCCTATACAAGAATTAACACAAAGCTACTTTCTTTAATAAAAACTATGCTGAAGGAATATTCGCCCCAAATACAGGTAAACTCTAAGGTAATATCCATATCCACACCGTGGCGAAGCACGGGTATACGCGCAGCGCGGTGCGCTGAAGGAATAAAACTGCTACCGACACCCGCGCGCAGCGCGGTGCGCTGAAGATATTCCGTCCCAATAAGGGGTAATACCCTTAGCTTCATTTTCGTGAATATCCATATTCACACCAAAGTGTTACCGATACCGATACCCGCGCGCAGCGTGGTGCGCTGAAGGAATATCCGCCCCAATAAGTTTAGCTTAAGTGCAAGGTTTAGAGGTATGACTACGACTATATTTAGTATGAATGTGCAGTAACTACGTGCTGATCAAGGTTAAATCCGGTTAAAATGCCGATTACGGATAAAAATCCGATTTCAATTACATATATGTTTCCGGTTAAATTTTAAGATGAAGTGGTGATTTTGGTTTCGGTTTAGAGAAAAAGAAAACACTAATTTTGTGAATATCCATATTCGAAATAGGGTCGAAAAAAAATAATTAATCAAAATATTTGATAATTCTGCCAGGGGAGGTAATTTAAAAAGAAATTCGACTCACGCTAATTTTTAAACAAATGTGACTGCAAATTAGTTTTTTCGACCCTACTGATATTAAAATTTATCCATTTTTTAGGAATATAAGCAGTAATATTATTTGACATCGATCTGTTTAATATTTTTTACGAAAGAGTAGAAACTGTGACAACTATAAAATAAATTTAAGTCGTTTTATAAACGAATTCTACCATAATACTTATGATATGACAATGCGATGCAGTTTAAACGCACTGCATGTTTCGTTGTTTACTTTTATGGCTGCAACATCTGCCACGGTAAATCATTTTTAAATGTACCAACTTGGGAACAGAACAAAACTAAACACAAATACAAAAGAAAACACAAACACAAACACAAAAGAAAACACAAACACAACACAAACACAACACAAACACAACACAAACACAACACAAACACAACACAAACACAACACAAACACAACACAAACACAACACAAACACAACACAAACACAACACAAACACAACACGAACACAACACAAACACAACACAAACACGAACACAACACGAACACAACACGAACACAACACAACACAAACGCAACACAAATGCAACACAAACACAACACAAACACAACACAAACACAACACAAACACAACACAAACACAACACAAACACAACACAAACACAACACAAACACAACACAAACACAACACAAACACAACACACAAGAAAACGCAAACACAAAAACAAAAGAAAAAACAAGCACAACATAAACACAATGCAAACGCAAACGCCAAAAACACACAAACGCAACACGCAAACACAAAAGGAAAAAAAACCACAAACACAATGCAAACACAAATGCAAATAAAAAAACGCAAACGCATAACACGAACACAACTTAAATTAAAACATAAGCACATAGTGCTCACAGTCTAGCCCGGGGGTAAATCGCACCCGGCTGGGGCGCCGGCGGAACCGCCTGATTAAACTTAGTATACGACTAACAGAACACAACTGGGAACAGAACAGAACAAAACTAAACACAACACAAACACAACACAACGCAAATACAACACAAACACAACACAAACACAACACAACACAAACACAACACAAACAACACAAACACAACACAAACACAACATAAACACCACATTAACCCAACACAACACAAACACATCATAAACACAACATAAATACAACACAAACACAACACAAACAAAACACAAACTCAGCACAAACACAAAAGAAAACATACCGCCGGCGGACGCTCTTGATTCAGTAAATGTCTATAAAACCCCCAGCTGGTCCGCAAACCCAAAGATAGAATAATAATTAGTAAACAGTACGTTCAGTGTATAAAATAAATAGAAGCAGTATTAAAAATATCTGTGTTGTACCTACCATATAGCACTTTATCAATTCATTTTGTTTTCAGTTCTTTAAATTAAAAAAAAAAATACAATAGAGTTTCATGACTTAAACCATTGCGCACCTAATGAACGTGATGACGCGTGTTTAATGATGCGGAATAGTTGATAAAAAATTATCATTAGTAAACAGTACGTTCAGTGAATAAAATAAAGAAAAGATAGCCTTTAATCAATCCATGCTAGTTATAATATTCCAACAATAATGTCCTCTTACACATCTACAGAACATTCACATTTTGCTTATTAGATAATTCCAACAATAATTTACTCTTGGAGATTTTTTTATTAGCGTGAGTTGAATTTATTTTTAAATTATCTCCTTTGGCAAAATTACAAAACAGATTAATAAATTAGCTTTTTTGACCCTATTATTATTAAAATGTATCCATTTTTTCTAGGAATCAAAACAAAAATTGTATTTGACATTGATCCGTTCAATATGTTTTAGCAATTTCCGTGTATTTAATATTTTCTTTATGTTGTCGAAAGAGTAAAAACAGTAGCAACAATAAAATAAAGTTAAGTCGTTAAAAAAAAATTCATAAAAAACGTTTTAATAACAAGCTTTTATGTAATAATGCACTAAAAAGTAGAAAAAATTAAATTATACACTATTATTTAAATTACTATAAAGAAAAGCGTGGGTCACTTTAGTACCGATTGGATACCTTTACTAATATTTGAGAAGAGACCCACGCTTTTCTTTATAGTAATTTAAATAATAGTGTATAATTTATTTTCTACTTTTTAGTGCATTATTACATAAAAGCTTGTTATTAAAACGTTTTTTATGAATTTTTTTTCAGTACTTTACATGTTTTATTTACAATAGAGTTACATGACTAAAAACCATTTCGCGCCTACTGAACGTGATGACGCAGCTATTGAACGTACCGTGATGGCGCAGCTATTGAACGTGATGACGCGTGTGGTGTGGTTGGCAAGACATGTCTACTAATTCGGTCCAAATTTTAATTAATTCATAAAAAATTAATTAGGCATCCAATTAAGTCAAATTTAATTTCAGATTGCATTGTCTTCATGTCTTGACCCACGTGTCAAATGTGAAACGTATCGGTCAAGTAGAAGTTTCCGAATTTTCACTCCTGCGTTTCGGTCTAGACAGACTGACGACTGACGACTGACGAGGAAGTGAGTTAAATAAAAGCTTGTAATAAAAACAAACCCTACTCTATTACTTATAATAAGACACTGCATATCAAGTAAAAAAACACGACACGTGGTGTGTTTACTTTTATTGCGCGATGACGGAAGGAAGGAAGGACTGACACACTACCAGCAGCGTTATATTATAGATTTAAAGTAATTATAGATCAGGATGAATTTTATAATCTATATACTACTAAAACTAAAGTTTGTTTACATGTTTGAATATTTATTTTTTGTGTTTGTTTGTCCGTTTGGTTACAGGAGAGAATCTGCACTATATGTAAAATAGTAATTAGGTAGAGAACAATTTTTGTTTTTAGACAGACTGTTAATCACGAATTAATCTAAAGACGTTATTAAATTTATTGACTTATTCATTGGTAGATTAAGCTCATTAATTATAAAAGTTGAGAACAATGACTTTACTTATAGTGAATAGTGACGTCACATTATTAATTTACTTTTACAACAACAATGGCGGCTTCCATCGAAGATTTTGTTGCCTCTATTCAGAAGTGTAACGCATTACATAGCTAATTTTCTGTCGGCTATAGCTTTAACGATACGTCCGTTTGCTATTTTTATTACGTTCCAACACTTATAATCAATTTCCAACAGTCCTTTTCATTTAAGTATACAATACATTTCTCTAGAGCTAAATATCAGCTGTCGAAGAAAGTTATTTATAGAACTAGAATCTAGGTCAAACCAAAATTAATTAGTTAAAATTAAAATCCATTTTTAAATTAAAATAAAATATTGAGTTTCTTTATTAAACTATCCTAGTCCTTAAATATTTGATATAAATCTTTGCTTTTTAGCTTCACGGATCATCTAATTCAAGAATACAAGTGCTTTATCTATCTAGGTTCTAGAGTTACGGCGATAAGTCGGCTTAACCAACCCCGTCGTAGAATCTAGATAATTCTATCTAGATCTAGATAATAATGAGTTTCTATACTAAACTATTTCAGACCTTAAGTAATAATTAAACAGCAAAAAAGTTTTGAAAACAATTTGGGTTGTTATGGAAACCCAAAAAAAACCTACGCCATTTTGAATTTTTCGGTAGTTTTAAAAACGCAAAGGCGTTTTTATTTATGCACTTATAACAATCTAATTTAAACGGCTTATATTTCATTATATATTTAAACTTTTATCTGGACAACTTTTCAAAAGAGCCAGTTGTCACGTTTCCGTTGAACGTGATTCTGGTCACCGTATGCTGGTCGTTCATTGATAACCGTCAAAAATTCTTTGAGATCAATTTTTGTCTGTTGGTGATTTCCTTTGACTTGTTTCAATACATTTATTTCAATATAAGCACCCTTTTAATACCCACTATTTACCAGAAGGAAAAAAAATACATTATTTAATTAAGATGAAAGTCCTAGAATTTTTGTGAATCCAAAACGGTTCAGGTAGGCGCTTCTTAATTTATATGGGCCCAGACGTACTATTCGTTTAACAGGCCTAGACGGTGCTGTTAGTTTTACATGCCCATACGAGGCTGTTAAACACTTCTAAATAGGTTTACAGATTGGCATACAATGAAAAAGTATTCAATAATTCTTTCTTTTACAGGCCCAGGACAAATTCCTCTCTCAAGAGCAGAGAGTTTGTCCGGAGACGAATATGGATGCCAGCCTTTGTCCGGTCAAGCCTCACCTGTGCCGGTCCGTAGGGCAGCTTCCACTCAAACTCCGGCGCTTCCACCCCGTCTGTCCCGGCTCCCTAGCGCCGACACGCCTCCTTTCCTTTACAGCACATATCAGCACGAGTCTCATCCGGATCTATCCGGCCGATCAGGGTCTGCTGGTGTAGGAGGAGCGATGTCAATAGCGGGTGGTTTGCCCATGTCCAGCTCCCAGACCTCCATTCAGCTGGCCAAAGATCCGGCACGTCATACTGCATCCCGACTGCGAGACCTACAGCTAACCAGAAAACCTCTGCATATTCCCTACAGTGAGTTTGAACCCTACAAAGCAGACATGCGTAAGCGAGTTGAATTGACCCGATCTGGCGGTCTAGATGGCTTATTAAGTATTCATATCATGTCGGGCCAAGGACTTAAATCCTCTAAAACAAGCTTACGCGATTTGTATTGTGTAGTGGCCGTAGACTCCCTCAACAAAGCCAGGACAATGATTAGGACAGGGGCGATTAACTTCGACTGGGATGAAGCATTTGATATTGATTTGGAAGACTCGAAAGAAGTTTCTTTTCTCGTGTACCACTGGGACCCAAACTACAAGCACCGTCTGTGTTTTCATGGCTCCCTTCTGCTCCCCAGCTACGTGCACAGCGGCACCAAGCGGTACGTGGCCATCAAGCTGGAACCAAAGGGGATCCTGTTCGTCACCTTGTTGTACAAAGAGCCCGCAGTCTCTCTGCAGCGTTTACCTTCCATCAAGAAAAACGCTCTGTTTGGGGCGGAACTGGAGACAATTATATTGAGAGAAAACTCGGGCTTAAATGTCCCTTTGTTGGTGAGTAAATGTGTCCATGAAGTGGAGAGGCGAGGTCTAGAGACTGTCGGCATTTACCGTCTATGTGGGAGTGCTAGGCGTAAGGCAATGCTGAGAGAAGCGTTTGAGAGCAATGCCCAAGCCGTGGATTTATCACCTGAAAATGTTTCCGATATCCACGTCATAACAGGTAAGACGACCATCAGATTCTTTCAGTTTCTCTATCTTAAAGTGCTGTCCCATTTCCAAATCAAACACTTTGCCGCATGTTTATGAGAATTTATTTGCTATAATAATACAAACGATAACCCTTGGTCGTAGTCTTTATTTGTCTTCGTCTGCCAAGCCAGCAATTGTATGGCTCCGTCGTTTAAAGGAGCATTGGATGATTTCGCATTGGAAATCCAATCAATTATTATAGCGTAAACGACACACCACAAATGGTAGTGTAAACTACACACCGCATACGGTAGCGTAAACTTCACACTACTGTAACGGACGCCGTCTGTCAGACGCAGAATCGGCGAACGTCCCCAGGTTCGTTTAAAGTAGTCAGACAGAAACCTTCTGGACAGTATGAGCACACCTACATCTACGTGGGCTTGTATCAAAAGTCTAGGGGTATTGACACGTAGGATAGATGAAACTCAACTTAGGTTAAACTGACAACTACTATTTTAATTTATGCACAAGTATGTACAATAGTCATTAAGTCAACTCCAAAGTAAACTTCATTAACAGCAATAAATAAACCATAAAAATATCACTCACAGATAACTCAATGATACTGAAATATCTCTAACAATTAGATATTAAAGTTCACAGGAAAAGCCTTGGTGTAATACCACGCCTAAATACAATATCATAAACCTGGAATGACCATACAACTTGGTGAAATAACACACCTAAGCAACATCTCATAATCATTTGAATAATCACACAACTTGGTGAAATATCACACTTAAACAATATCATAAGTACTGGAATGACCATATACTTGGTGAAATAACACACCTAAGCAATAGCTCATAAACACTGGAATAATCACACAACTTGGTGAAATATGACACCTAAACAATGTATCTTAAACACTGGAGTGATAAACAACTCCTATGGTGAGGAACTAATATATATCACCACGAACTGAAACATTCAAATAAAACCACACACACACACACACACCGCACTGTTGCCTCCCCGAGTCTAGGTCAAAAAAGTCTTCTATAGAAGTCGTGTCTCGACCTTTTATCTGAGACCAAACCCAAGGGAGGCTACTATAATGTTGCAAGGCCATTGGTCGAGGATCGGTTAAGGATCTTCAATACTAAACAACCATTGGCCGAGGTTCTGATAAGGATTAAAATCCAAGTCACATGCCGTGACTGAGTTCAGTTGACCGATGCGTACCAGGGAACTGACAATTCTCCCAAGGTCAATAATAAAACTCAGGAGACTAAATAATAAAAAGAAATAAAAAGACCTAAGTAGGTCACACTACTTTGGTCTACTGATGTTGACCACCTGATGTTGGCCACCTTATGTTGGCCACATCATTAACTAAAAACTCCACAAGTTTCTCCCGTAACCTATGGCTACTGTTGATCTCATCAACCAGGTGTTTTGAAAGATTACCTACGGGAGCTACCAGAACCATTGTTTACTAATTCCCTCTATCAGATGCTATTGGACGCTTTAAGTGTCAGGCTACCGTGTGACCCAGAAGGCAGTGCCAAACTTATGCTGAGTATTCTAGAGTGCCTTCCTTCGGCCAATCAGGTAGAAACTGAAACTTTACAATTTTCGTTAGAACAATTAACTCAATTCATAACTTTAACAATTAACTCAATTCATAACTTTAACAATTAACTCAATTCATAACTTTAACAATTAACTCAATTCATAACTTTAACAATTAACTCAATTCATAACTTTAACAATTAACTCAATTCATAACTTGAACCAAAACAATTCTCGTCGCCTAGGATACAATGGCCCTACTCTTGAATCATCTACGCCGTGTGGCCTCTCACTGTGATAAAAATAAGATGCCCATAGACAACCTGGCCATTTGTTTTGGACCTGTTCTGCTTTGTCCGGCCCCAAGCTCCACCCCCGATCCACTCCTTGATTTTAGAAAACACATCGAAGTCCTGCGCTATCTTCTTGAGATATGGGACTATGAAGGTAGTAACAGTAAGTAGACTTGTTTTTTTTTTTAAATCAAAACTTGTTTGCTATCATTTGTCACAGTATGTTTGAAAACCGAAGCAATAAAAAACAGACAACACTAAAGTAGGCACATTTGTAATTCTTAATTATCGTCTTTTAGTGGTTGGCATAGTGTTAGGGCTGTTTCCATACATACACACACACACAAACACACACATACACACACAAACACACACGCACGCGCGCACATATGTCAGGGTGGGTAGTGAGCTAAATCTGTATGTCAGTTTAAATTTACCCATAGCTATACACTAACAATATTTTAGCAACAAATGCATATTGCATCTAGAAAAAAAACCTAGACCTAAAATGGACGTCAATGATCCTCCGCGAGGGTGAGGTAGAACATCTCGCTTCGGCCACCCTATTGAGTAAGGTAGAACACCTCGACAGGTGAAGTAGAACACCTGTACATGAGAGGTAGAACACCTCGACAGGTGAGGTACAATACTCGAGAGGTTTTAGCTAGAACACCTAGACAGGTGAGGTAGTACACCTCGACAGGTTTTTTAAAAAATGACAGACTAAATTCAGTTGAGATTCTTTGTGGACAATTGTCAACTCATCACTTGTTTTATCAAAAGAAGGGGCAGCAGATGTGTCAAAAAATTGTGTCTCATGTAATAATCGTCATGTCAACAGTTCAACAATATTGCATTTGCACTATTATATATATATATATATATATATATATATATATATATATATATATATATATATATATATATATATATATATATATATATATATATATATATATATATATATAATCATGACTTAGTAAAAAAAACAATTTTTGCAACTTTTTACTTTCTCGTATACGAAATATAGAAGAAGTATTGTAATCGTACAAAAATAAACCGGGAGTGATCTCCCCTTAACTTTATCGAATATTCTTATATAAAACAACAGGGGATGGGAACTAGGAATAAAGACATGATTTTTAATACATTTTAAATACTTAAACTTTTTAAAACAGAATAAAATCTCGTGGAAAAAGAGTTGCACACTAAGTGAACGCCAAATGAAATGTGCATAATTGCGCGGAATATTATAAGTACTTTACAAATTTACATTAGTTTTTTGAGAAATCGGAAATAACGTAAATTACTACTTCCGGTCAACGGAAATTACTCAAAATTTGACAGAAAGTAGAGAATTACATCTTTTACTTACATTTGAAATTTCATTTATCTATCTGAAATAGTACTCAAGTTTTAGGTTTTTGAAAAATTCAAAGTAGAAAAAGTACCACTTCCGGTTATCGGAAACCGCTCAAAAGCTGATACGGATCTACGATTTTGATAAAATACTTATATATGAAATTTCCTCAACCTAGCTGTAACGGTACTCAAGTTATCGTGTTTACACACACACATACACACACACACACACACATACGGACAAGATTGCAAAACTATGTTTTTCCGACTCAAGGAGGTGTAAAACGTCGAGATTTGCAAAAATCACGATTTTTTTTTTTGCACAATTTCAAGACTTTCTCTACTCTTTGATTATACGAGAAAGTAAAAATCGAGACTTTAACAGATCTCGACGTTTTACACTTCCCTGAGTCGGAAAAACATAGTTCTAAAATTTAGTCCGTATGTCTCTCTCTCTCTCTCTCCCTCAGTGTGTCTGTAAACAAGATAACTTGAATACCATTAAAGCTAGGTTGATGGAAATTCTTATATAAGTATTCTATCAAGTTTGTAGTTCTGGATCATCTTTTCAGCGATTTCCGATAACCGGAAGTGGAACTTATTCTACTTTCAATTTTCAAAAGCCTATAACTTGAGCACCGTTTCAAATAGGTAAACGAAATTTCACATAAAATTAAAATTTTGATTAATTTCCGATGACCGGAAGTGGTACTTTACGCTATTTCCGATTTCTCAAAAAACGCATATGAATTTATAAAGTACTATTAATATTCCGCACTATAATACACATATTGTTTGTCGTTCACTTGGTGTGCAATTCTTTTTCCTCGAGATTCTATTCTATTTTTAACAGTTTACGTAATTAATAAACCGGGAGTGATCTCCCCTAAAATTTCTCGGATATTCTTATATGAAACAACAGGGGAGGGTAACTCGGGATATAGACAATATTTTAAATCAATTTTAAATACTTAAACTTTTTAAAATAGAATAAAATCTTTTAGAATAAACCGGGAGTGATCTCCCCTAAACTTTCTCGAATATTCTTATATAACACTACGGGGATGGCAACTCGGGATATAGACAGTATTTTAAACCATTTTAAATTACTTAAACGTTTTAAAATAGAATAGAATCTCGTAGAAAAAAGAATTGCACACCAAGTGAACACCAAACAAAATTATAAATTCACATGTATTTTGAGAAATCGGAAATAGCGTAAATTACTACATCCGGTCAACAGAAATAACTCAAAATTTGATAGGACAGAGAATTACATCTTTTACTTGTATGTGAAATTTCATATATCTATCTGAAAAAGTACTCAAGTTATAAGTTTTTGAAAAATTCAAAGTAGAAAAAGTTCCATTTTCGGTTATTGGAAATCGCTGAAAAGTTGATACAGATCTACAAATTTGATATAATAATTATATATGAAATTTCATCAACGGTTCTCAAGTTATCGTGTTTACACACAGAGACACACATCCACACATCCACACATCCGGACAGAATTGCAAAGTCCAGTTTTTCAGACTCAATTACGCGTAAAACGCCGATATTTTAATAAATCTGGATTTAGAATTTTTGCCCTATTAAAATAAGTCCCCTATACTCCGTTTATGATGAAGTACTGAGAAGTAAAACGGTGAAAACTAAAAATTTCACGTGATTTTTTTTGCACGATTACAATACTTTCTCTATACTCTGTACAGGAGAAAGTAAAAATGGATTAAAAATCATGTCTGAATCCCGAGTTGCCTCCCCGTAGTGTTATATAAGACTAGGTAACTATGAAAATTTCCATTTTATTCAAGGTACAGGGACATCCAAATCTCCTACGGCAGAAACAATTATTTCTGCAGGCACAGGGGACTCGCCCAACCCAGCTGGTCCCGTGGATCAGGCTCGTAGCTCAAGGGATGAAGTGACTGGTCACAACACGGATGGGCCATCCAACAGGCAATGACGCTGGTTGATCACTAGATTCTTATCCAATTTTTAGTTGCACCGTTTCATCTCATTATCTCTAACTATATTCACACTCTAAATCTAGTTTTTAACTGCAATTTTTTATAACATGAATTTTTTGTGTGTAAATATAGCATTATGTAAATATTTGTCATTTTAAAGAAATGTATAACATTTATAAATTATAGGCCTTTATATATATATATATATATATATATATATATATATATATATATATATATATATATATATATATATGTAAAAACTGACATTCTATAGGATACCTAGGTAATGTATATAAGACGGATCGTCTAAGTTTGAAAAACATCATATTTCTATCACATTTCATACATTTCCTAGTCATTATGTAGAATATTAAATAATGTAGGCCTACAGGCAGGGTGTAGGATACGCTTTCTCACCAGAACCTTCCTTTATCTTTGTTGGTTGAGGGTAAAAAAAAGAAAATTACAATTTAAAATGTCATTCTAGCCTTCCGTCCTGCAGCAAGTAGTAAGTGATAGCACTCACTTCTCATTTCTTACTTCTCTCAGTGAAGATTTCCTGTTGTTCATTTGTATTTTTTCTTTCATTTTTTTACTCTTGTTACTAAACACGTTTACAATCTGGGCATCTGACACTTCGCCTGAACAGTGCTTGTCATCTATATATATATATATATATATATATATATATATATATATATATATATATATATATATATATATATATATATATATATCTTCTTGGATACCATAGAAAACACCAAGCTGTAAGCGCTCTTAGCAGGCCCCTCTCTTCCTCTCTAGGCATATCCCTACCACCCACACCCCCACATGGTCTGGTGAGCTGTGGTTCACGCTGAATGTTTACAATCGTAGAGCCGGGTTTAGTGACGGCTATTAGGGGCAGATAATTTAGTTTGAAATGATTTTAAAGTTAGGGGAGGTAGCTAAGAGGAGGCTGCTTTCAAGGGGGGGGGGTGTAGGGTAGGGGTTGGGGGAAAGGAGGGTGGGGGTATCTCTTTAACACCTACTGATAGTGTTTTAAAGCAAATATTTTCACTGGAAGCATTGGTACTGTCGAATTCACAAATTATGAATTACTGAAAAGTAGAAAATAATACAACTAAATAGCAGCGTATGACACGCCGCGGGTCGGCTTATTCTTTATAAATCCTTGGTATTTTGTTATATTTGATACCTTACCTGAAAACGTTATCTAGGTATTCTGTAGAATGTAGGTTTTTCCTACATTGCTAGTAATATATATACACAAACACACACACACACTCACACACACACATATATATATATATATATATATATATATATATATATATATATATATATATATATATATATATATATATATATATATATATATATATATATATATATATATATATATATATATATATATATATATTATATATGGTGTATGTATTGAGCGTCAATATAACTTCCAAAAAACATAAACCTGTCATTTGAATCCCAATAAAAAGGTTATCAACTAAGAGCTCCAGCCATTAGGGCTGTCGACAAAAGGGCCCCATTAATACGACTTCTTACTATAAGTTTCCTCACAAAACGACCTCAAAGGAACCCTTCAAAGCTTAGCGAACACCCTTTAAAAAAGATGTATGTAGTCGACATGTTTTTTTTACAAGGTTTTTTTAGTTCTTATATATCTATATAGCAGTGCTTTATTTTTAAAATTATTTATTATTTCTTGTTTTAACTGTATAATTTTATAGAAATATTTTTAAATTAACCATTTACATAATTTTACCTTTTATAAGAAAAAGTTGTTTATTTTTTGTTTTTTAAATAATCACCGGTTATGATGTCTTAGGGGTTGGGTAAAACAACAAAGTGTATAGTCTAGGATTAAGGTAAAACAAAGTGTATAGTCTAGGATTAAGGTAAAACAAAGTGTATAGTCTAGTATTAAGGTAAAACAAAGTGTATAGTCTAGTATTAAGGTAAAACAAAGTGTGCAGATTACATCAAACCTTTTGTGCTATGGTTAAAGCAAGGTTTTACCGGTGTTGATATTACATTATCCGATTTCTAGGGATTTTGCTTTTTGCTCGATTTGGCCAAATTGTCCACTAATTGCCGTTGGTTTATGAAACAGTTCTTTTTTAAATTTTAATATTAGCATTTGAGTGTTTATGTTTTAGATAATATATTAACAAACTAATCGGCATTATATGTGTATAGCTTGGACATTTTATCGTTTTAATAAACTAATGTGTATGAGAATTCAATTTTTCACAACTTTATTGTTTATATCATTTAGTTAACAGAAAGATGTTATGGTGGTAGTAGGGTAGTAACTACGTGTGGCTGGTCGGCAAATTGGTTGCAGCTGTGTGGCTGGTCGGCAAATTGGTTGCAGCTGTGTGGCTGGTCGGCAAATTGGTTGCAGCTGTGTGGCTGGTCGGCAAATTGGTTGCAGCTGTGTGGCTGGTCGGCAAATTGGTTGCAGCTGTGTGGCTGGTCGGCAAATTGGTTGCAGCTGTGTGGCTGGTCGGCAAATTGGCTGCAGCCGTGTGGCTGGTCGGCAAATTGGTTGCAGCTGTGTGGCTGGTCGGCAAATTGGTTGCAGCTGTGTGGCTGGTCGGCAAATTGGCTGCAGCCGTGTGGCTGGTCGGCAAATTGGCTGCAGCCGTGTGGCTGGTCGGCAAATTGGCTGCAGCCGTGTGGCTGGTCGGCAAATTGGCTGCAGCCGTGTGGCTGGTCGGCAAATTGGTTGCAGCCGTGTGGCTGGTCGGCAAATTGGTTGCAGCTGCACTGAAAGTAGTCAGGAACCGAAGCGTCGGGAATTTTATTTTGTCGTGAGCCCATTTGTCTGGAGCTAATACGGGGGGGGGGGTGCTATTTGTTGGGACCGTTTAGACGGTGCACCACACACACACACACACACACACATATATATATATATATATATATATATATATATATATATATATATATATATATATATATATATAAGTGGTCCTTTAAAGCTAAATACATAATTTTTTATTCAATTATCAAGCAAACATCCATATTTTTTATTGTCTTAGTGTAAAAACTTGTTATTATTATGAAACAAATTATACAACGGGTACAGTTCTTCTAGTTTAGTGTTTTTTAAGTGAAAGTAAGATATTCAAAACACAGTTTAAGTATAGCTGATAACAAATTAGGACATCTCTTATAGTGCCCATTCTGCTGATATCGATCTACCGAAGAGATTGATTTGGTTCAAAATTTCAATTTTTTACAATATTGTTTGCATCCGTTATTTATAATTTATAACCAATAACACTAGCACAATTATAACCCATCATATTTGCAGATAGTTTTTTTTTCAAAACTAGTTCACTTATAGCAGCAAAATTTGTGGTATGAACGCTGCATGATTCAACGTTTTTTATTTTTTTTATTTTGAGGTTTAAAGCGCTAGTTGTGCGTGGACAGGCTAAGTTCTTCATTTCAAATGTACCAAATATGTCTAAAATATTTACAATGAAATCTTTTAGCCAGCTTATTTTTTTAAGTTCACAGTGTCTGTTTGTTGTTGTTATTGTTGTTTACAGTATCTGTTTGTTGTTGTTATTGTTGTTTACAGTGTCTGTCTGTTGTTGTTATTGTTGTTCACAGTGTCTGTTTGTTGTTGTTATTGTTGTGTTTGTTTGATCGTGGGTTGTGGCAAATTTTGTAACGCAATTTAAACCCACCTTTACAACGAACGAAGGGGAGGGAGCGGGGTTTAACGTAAACATATTTTTAGTCCTAGCGTATGTAGTGTGAAATTTATTTAGTAGGAATTACATTTTTAAAAAGATTAAAAATAAACTCTTTATGATAATAAGCTTTTTTTAAAAAAATTCAATGATAATAAGAAAATGAAAGAAAATTGCATCGTTTAATGGAAGCTCTACTCACTACAACATGTAGGAGATCTCATGAGCATTCAAGAAAGAAAGTATTTTCTTTTCTTTCTTTCAGTTAATTAAAAAGCGGATTATTATTCTTGTGTTTTATATTTATTTTTTGTTAGTTTTTTTTTTGTTAATTTTTTTTTCTTCTTTTTTTGTTTCTTTGAAGGCTGTGTTAAATCCTATATCTCAGTCATGACCTACTTCTGATGCAGGCTTTCGTTCAAACTTTCCAGATAATTCCCGATAACAAAGTAAAATTATATAAATTTTAATATAATTAGCCATTAGGTTAGTCATTAAAATCTAATTTAGAAATAAGAAAATTCGATATTAAAAGGGAGGGTATAGAGATTAGATACTAGTGTTCGCTTCATCATACTAACAACAGTGACATTTTTCTCACGGTTCGTTGACTTCTTGCTCTAGAGTCAACAGTGGACTAAAAAGTTGCAGATGTCCTTTAGGGATTGTCATCTACTGGTTGGCTTTGAAGGCAATCATTTTTAGACAAACGACAGCGATCTGCCCCATCTTATTTATCGACCGAAGCTCAGGCAACTGGGCATAGCCGATTTCAACAATAATCTTTTAATAAATCAGACTGCAAGAGGATCGTGAATGTTTATTGCACCTGCGGTTCACCCCATTGTATTTTGTCTGTTTCCATCAGGATTTTCTTTTCTTACCGCTGCGGGTCATACAAAGCTTCCAGCCCTGGGCCAACTTAACGGATTCTTTTCAAAATGCTGACCAACGCTTCAACCATTAGAGTAGATTCACTTTCTAAAAGCACGACAACCCTAACAAAACAACATTTATACAAGAATAGTTGTCTATGCTTTGTCTTGTACAATTTTAAAATAGTTTTTAATGTTATGTTTCGATTTTCTTTCTTTTGGCGCCATAGTGTTTTACTCATTTACTTCCCATTTTAACTTATTTCTACAACTTTCGCTACAAAAAAAAAGTTTTTGGGTTCCGCCTTTAGCCGAATAATGATCATGGACAATAATGGCATATAAAATGTTGTTTGACAATGGCTGTCCTAGCAGTTGCTTGTAAATAATAACATGAGTATAAAACTAACGGTGTTGAACAAAAATATTATTTGGCTATAGTAATTAGCAAGAAAATGTATTTCTTCTCTGCTTGTAAGTTTTGAAAATGAAAAGCGAAAATCGTAAATGTTAAAAAATAAGTTAGAGTTAGAAATGAAAATGCCATTCAGGTAGAATAAAAAGAAATT